TAATAAATCTCGTTTCTCATTCAGTTAATATATAATATCTCTCTTAGAATATAAATAAGCGTCTTAAAAACCTTATTTCTAAAAGGGTTGGTAATTTTTTTATTAGCAATTTTGTACATAAAAAAATGTAATTTTATTGAATTATATAACTGTACACGCTTTTAAAATGATTAACTACAGTGCTTCCGACATCTATTCCAAAACTGTATTTTTTCCTTCAAAGGAATCTCGTTTCGAGATCCAATAAAAAGCCGCTAGCAGACCGTACAGACTGAGTGTTTACGTACGAAAGGCGAAATTGAAGTGCGTACCAGCGCACAGAAATTTTTTATTTTGCGTTTGAAATGCATTTTCGTTCGACAACAAGAATCCAGCTTTGATTTCAAACGGAGTAGAGTTTGCTTTCATTTCGTAGTTAATGTTTCATTGTAATGCTATTTTTTATTTTTGGTATGCGACCGCTTCTACGATATATACATATAGATGCATTTTGCATCAATATAGCCGATCGTGTTCTAGAGGTTTACAAGGATTAATTTCAGGATCCATGGAAAATGAGACCCGGTAGATTAATTCGCAGGTCTCCTGAATAGTATCATGTTCTAATACACAGAGTTCTTACATGTTTTAATCTCGTACGAATTCGCCGATAATATGTTCAATTTTAATCAAATAGTTTAGGATCAAAATAGACCAATAAAAGATCTATTTTTTTTATGGTAGAAATACGATATGAAATAATTTTTTTTTCAAAGTAGAAACATCATATAAAATTTTTTCATAGTAAAAACGCGATATGAAAAAACTGTAAAATTGTAAAAGAAATAATTTTTCCGCATCCTTCGACGTTTTATAAAACAATGATATCATTTTTCCAAAATAATATGCATTAAAATTTTCATAGCCAATATTATTACTTCCTAAAAAGATTTTACAACGTTAATTGTTAAAATAAAATATATGATTAAACAAAATAAATTCGAAGGTATCGATTTATTATTATTCTCTCTATAGAGAATTTATAGATCTCAACGTGTACTTATTAAGTATATACGCAACCATAATGTGTTTTTATATCATATATAATTATTTAATATCTATGCTTATAACAGATGATTGAATATAAATGAATAGCACATACAAAAAAATTCTCTTTATCATAGTTTCTTTTAAGAAAAATTGCAATGCGATTTTCAATTAAATTATAGATAGACAGTCTTTCCAATCACAGATAAAAAGTCACAGTCTTTCGATCTAGCACTATTTTCATTTATCGTGATCGATTCGCTGAGGAAACAGAAAAATAACGGTGAAAAATGAGCTAAATTATCATTACGCGTTCCATGTGTCAGCACTCTCGGATAGGTTAAAAGTTACCTCTGCCGACCTACCAGGTCGGCTTCACATTTGCATTTGGTGGCGTCGCGTTACATAAAAAATAAACTTCACGGAAATTACGGGATCGTAAGGATATTTTGGAGGACTCAACACCACACGCACAACTTCGTTTCACGGGAAATTGTTGGTTATGTATCGCACCGGAAACTTTCGCGATGTCGGAAACGCAAGTAGGTAGGTTTTGTCTGTCGCAACGTTATTACGGTTTGCATTCTTCATCTGGAATATTGCCGCAGCCGGTGGGACTTCATTTAAAGTTCGGTCCCATTGTCACGGAAAAACTTGAGAGCATCTATTTCCCCGAATCAAAGAGCTCGAGAGATTGCGTCTCGTTAGAGAAGAGAGCACCCGGGCATGATATAAATTTTCACTCATTCGACATCTCCGGAAGTCTTCCAGAAATGAAATGTATCTCGCGAACGAAAATCCAATCAAATCTTAGTATGAATTTGAAGATTTGTTTCAATTAATTTTTGGATAGTTCAAGACGAATGGCGAACATGTGGAAGTCTTTTAATTATAAGAAATAAAATATATAAAGGATGAAATATATAATAATATAAAATATATATAAAGGATAATGAACGTGATAATTTAAATACGATTACGAGAACTGGGTTAAGTTATTGATATATAATTTACTTGTAAGATTAATCCTTTGATGCGTTATTTAATTTTAATCTGCTAAAATCGGACTTTGATAATATTATGGTGAGAATTGTAATTAATTAATATTTGTAATGTGTGAAAATTATATATTACACGTGAAACAAAATTTTTAAGTGTATTCGACTTTTGATGTAATGAAAATTAGTAAAAATTTAAATAATTAATGAATCCTGCTGTGTATCATTTGATCATTTAATAAATCATTGAGTTTTATAATAGAGAAAATAAAGTTTCCATTAAATAAAATATCCAATTATCTTATTAATGCAATGTTTGAACTTTTGAAGTCAAAACATCGACATGTTCACCAGTGCTAACTTTACTATTCAATAAGCTGCCAACAGATTTCACGTTAAAACTTCAAATAAATTCGATTTAGATTTGGATAGAGGATAAATGAATGCAGAAACTCTTGTGATCGCTCATGCATATGCACTATGTTATGGTACAATTTTCTCTTCAAATCAACCATGTGTATAAAATAGTATTAATTTTGTTTTAAATTTTGAAAAATAAGAAAAAATAAAACAAGAGGAAAAGCAGAAAAAGTTAAAAAAATTTTTAATATAGTTAGAAAGGGTCATTTTCAGGCGATAGTTTATCATTTTGTTTAATACAGTTATTATTCAATAAACCAATCGAGCTTCTCTGATGAGATTTATTGTTTATAAAAGGAAAAATTTAAATTACGTTTTCACAGGCACTTTTTTATCTGCTTTTTTAAAGTATAAAATTTATTATAATACACTTCAGCATATTTACAGCCAAGAAGGGAATCTTTTTTTAAGTATAAACTCTCTTTTTAAATCGTTTTATTAACGTAAAAGTATGTGAGAATTTACGTTTGAATAAAATCTTGTTTTTGCTTCGCTAAATTTGAAAATGTGGGAGACAATAATTAGATTCAAGTTTCACGAGACTTTACGGGTTGACAACCTCTGGCGCGAACTATTATCAGATTTCCGATCGGTTCGTATAGAAAATAGACGCTTAGAGCCGGGCGGCACGGTGCGGTGAATGGGGTGTAAATAAGCGCGAGTACGTGGTGGATCATGCATATGCACCGCGTGGTGTGTCCTTCTCTTTGGCTGGTTCCACAGTTAACTTGGATCACGAGCGTAGCATGCCGATGCCGCCATCGGCCATGGCTCCCGAGGGCTCGGCCTGCAATTTAAATGGCCGCGACACGCAGCAAGTGTCTCCGGGGGTCGTTGGACAACAGCATCGGCTTACCCGCAGTCTGATCTCCGTCGGGTCCAGCGTCTGCCGAATATGTCACACAAACACGGCGAAGGAAGCGCTTATTTCCCCTTGTAGGTAAATGCATACATGTTCTATCACAGCTTGAACAGACGTAGTACAGTATTGTAGATGGACAAAGCCTCAATTTTGGAAGCTATTAAGATGTTTTAATAGAATGAATAAACAATAGAATAAAATCAAATATACAGTAATTGAATAATGAGTAAATAAAAAAACATAATAATTTTGTCCGCGACAGTACTGTTATTATGCATAATGCGATGATTTTAAATGATAATGCGATGATTATAAATGAAAAGTTATTAGTAATTCGATAATATCGAGTTTTGATACTTTCTTTCCCACAGTGTATTTTTAATTTAAATAATTGATTGAAATAATTCAAAAAAAGAAATTTATCTTATTATTCTCTTCTAAAATTAGCAAAAATGCCATGCATGCAAGTTTATTGTTTGCATATAAAATATAGATAGTGCTATACATGTATAATAATCCTAAAGCCGCATATATTTAGGATTATTATAATCCATGTATATATATTACGACATGAATGAGGTTCACAAATGTATTTAGAGATAAGGTACAGTGCCAATTTAAGAATCGTAATTGGACGGATTTCAGAATAAGCTTAAGTTGATTAAATTGCTTAATAACGTTACTGAGAGTTTCCACTATTATACTATCAATTCTATAGCAAGATTATCCTTAAAAGAGGGACAAAATTGCAATTATTTTATATTGCAAATATTATTTCTATAAAAAAAAACGGCTACAATTATTTGGACGATCAAAGTCGTCTATCGATACATCTTTTGGTTATAAGAACTATAGATAGTGATAACTGTAAGACTGGCATATTTTAATTGTTATTCTTGGCTATTGTGATTCTTGGCTATTAAGATATGTCCATCTTATGGTTATCATAATCAAATATGTTGAGGCAAAAATTATTATTATTTTCGGTGGCAATTAAAGCGTTTTTCTCGTGTTTTAGGACAAAATTGTTTTGATTAGTTATTCTGTACATAAAAATATTCGCACGTCGATTTAATATACATATATGTTTTATTATAGTTTAAAATATTTTGAAATTTTTATATGTACTTATTATAAAAATATTATTGAATGTATTGAATGTATTGTATTAAAAAAATTTTGTATTAATACTATTGTATTAAAAAATATTGCTATAATGTTCAAAATTGATTCACAACAAAAATAACTGAATATACGCTCAATTTTTTCTTGTGGCATTAAATGCTTATTCGATACGTAAATACAAGTAATTCTAATTTTATTTTCGAATGCATAATTTCAAATTTTCGAATTCAAGAAAAAGATCGTTCGTAAATATATACATGTAGAAAAGATACAGTTGAATATTTACGATTTTGAAAACTTTATCATCATGGCAAAACGATGTGTATCATCCGCGTAGCTATGTCCGGGATTTAGGACAGAATTCCGCCATCTTACGAACGTCCCATCTTTCATACTTAATAGGATTCGAGAAAAATGTGGTGCTCACCGAAACGGGAAGTGCTTACGTATTAAATGGCGGAACATCGCGATATTTAAATCTTGCGAATTCAGCTCCGGATATTTCTGTTGATGTGTTTAAACAATATACGTAGCAAAAAAATAAAATAAAAAATATAAAATTTGCTGAAATTTGACATATGTATGTAACAAATATAAGATAAATACACACATACATAAAATGTTATATTATTCAATAATAATAATCGTATACATTATTCGATGTAACGTAAAACGCTAAAATGTAAGGTTCAAACTTCAATTTAACGATGTGTAGTTAATTTCCATTTTATTCAGTATTCTATAATGACCCTTAAAGGTACTATAATAATTAAAATAGTTATAATTGTCAGAATTAGAACGGCAGTTTCGGTGTCGAAATATCAACAGTGTCGAGAGCTTAGTTATATATTATAATTTCGCTAGTTTAGAATTTACTTAACGAATTAAAGTCCTAAAAGAGTATAAATTGAGTAGTCTTCATTTTGAGCTAATTTCAATAGCTGTTATTTTAAATGACTTTAATGTAAGAGGCTTTGTTACCAGTTATTATTACGTATTTTCAAGCTGGAAGTTTAGCCAAGTCGATTAGTGATTTAATTATAAAACAAAAGTATATAGATAAAAGTATACTGCAAGGCAAACTGAGAAAAGCTTTCAAATTCAATTGCTTCGATTCCCAATAGCCTATTCTTTATCATCTATCAATATATGTCGCGTGAAGCGACAAATGCTAATTTCATGCAAGCATGAGATGGGAGACAGGTGCTAATTAATTAGCGTTAAAGCTCGATTAAGCGATGATCATCTAGCGTCATCCAATCACCATGAAATATGACGAGGGATTAACCGTTATAATTTACTAAGCCCAACGATATTCAGAATATCTTACGTTGATTACTTTGAAACTCTGTTACTGTCTGTCATACGTCTGAATTTACATATCACAGACCTGGGTAATTTTGAAAAGTAAAAAGAATTGATTCTAATGAAAGGTCTTCGGTATTAACTAATCTAAATAATCACATAATCTAATCACATAATTCTATTTTCTCTCAGTCAGATAGTTCCTTTTACAGCTTTTTATAAAAAAAAAAGAAGAAAGAGAATAATCCAATTAGATTATTACTTGATTTTAAAGTATGCGTATACTATTTTTATTAGCCTTCACTTATTTTATTTTTAACATTTATTTTTAACATTTATTTCGCTAATATCCTTATCGTTTTTATGGAGAGTCATACTGCCCGTCAACTTAACGACCTGAATCGCGGTTCTTTGCTTGTAGGGGCTTAATTCACGAGGACCTCGTGAGAATTCTCGACTATGTACTATGCTTATATCTCATGACCTATTTCTTTTCGTGTTACCACGACAACATTAGACGCGCGGTGGTAAATGCCCGGCGATGCCAACGAAAAATCTGGTCGACTAAGCGCATGAATCATCACGAATTTTAATGCGACCGATTATTTATGGTAGAAAGCGGAATGGTTGCCCTTCGTGGTAGAAACATCTGTAGTTTTCGTGGATTTTGCTGCCAAATGCAGGCATGTCCTCGCCCTCGAGAGTATAAATGTTCGATTTTATCTTTTCTCTTCTTCGACTAAATAAATCCGTTTTCTTATCCCTGTTCGTCTTTGAAGGAAATGGATGCTACGTTAAAAATTGTTATTATATGAATATTAATCTCATTCGTCTTTTCTTATCATCCATTTGCATATTTTGTTTATGTTTTGTGTTATTATTCTAGAAAACCAGAAATTTATCATAGAGGAGTATCATAGTTTGATTGATTTGTTTAAAACATTAAGTAGTACTACAATAAGCCATTGAATAAGGAGGCCTCAATTCTTAAACAATGAGACTTCGATAAAGACTTTACTGTTCTCTTAATCAACTATCGATTGGCTAATGTTGTCCTACCATAATATATTCTTTAAAACTTTTAGAGTGAAATCTCATTCTTAAAGATTGAAAATTAAGCCATCTTTTTTACTGGCTTAATTTTTATAATTTAGAGTGAGATTTCAGTCCAAAGAGTTTAGAGAGTCAGAAAGACAAGCATATGTATGTTTTCTTTTTCATTGTTTGAGCCGCAGAGTTTTATATATTTAACAGATATAGAGAAAGCTCGTTTCAATATAAAGTTCTAATTAGTTTAAAGACTAAAGTATGGTATGATGATTGACTAACATAGTAAAGAAATAAAATATCTGTTATGTGATTTAGATATCTATGAAGTTGGTTCTCTAACTATTGAAAAAATTAATTTTCAATAGCTCAATGGATTGTTCATCGTTTGAACATTTCTAAAAAAATGTATTAAAAAAACAATTTTAGGGAGTTTAATTTTACACTAGCCTTTCAACCACGAAAAAACTAGATTTAAGGATGTATATATTAGATGTAGTCTGTGCAAAGAAAATTAAATTTGGATGTTTATACTTCAAATGAACTATATACATATGAAAATTGTGTGAATAAGCTTATATTTTTATTTAATAACACATTTTTGTTTATTTATTTTATTTGTTATTATTTTATTGTCAAAAATGAAAATTTTAAAAATTATAAAATTTACATTTTTCTTTTGTAAATAGTTTAAATATTCGCAATAATTTATACAAAGTTTTATTGCGATTCATTGATTAGTTATAAAGATATAGAACAAATAAATATTTTGTTTATTTACTGGACAACTAGTTCATGCATCGCAATGTAACTCTACGTAAATAATCTTGAATACATAATATATTTATATATAAT